TTAACGTTTACGTACGTTAGTTAGTAGGTGGGTAGGAGTGTACTATACTAGTAGTATATATATATATATATATATATATATATATATATATATAAAATATATGAAATGATATCATTTATCTCTGGTATATGGTGGTCATAATTAATCTCAACCAAGTATGAAATGTATTAGATGTACGAAATGAGAGTATTTATCTCTAGTACAAGGTGATCACAATTAATCTCAACCATTATATGTTAATTTCGGTAACTACATTTTACTCTATTTACTGAGCTTAAAGTTCAGAAGAAAATTTTCTCAAACTTTGTGACATACCTAAGCTATCAAATTTCACATTGGATAGTTATAAGTAAGGGTGTGGTTTGTATAGAGTCTAGGCTCTAAACAATCAAATTAGAGTCTACCTTCAAATAGTATCGAGAAATGTGGTTTCAATACTGAGAATATTCGTAATAGCCTTAAAATTTATTTTCATCTTTATTTATAAAGTTTAAAATTTTAAAAACAGTGTAGAACAATAGATCTATGAACACTTGATAATCTTGAAATTTGACAGTCAAAAAATGCATTACAGAATACACTATTTCCAAAACTTGAAATCCATTTTTTTCTCATGTCCATACATCTTGATGTCGAGATGATCAATTTGAGAATATTTGGACATCAAAACAACCTCTTCTAGTGAAATTTTTGTGGTAGGCTCAAATTTGATATTTTAAAGCCTCGACTATATATAATTTTTTTCCTATAAGTAATCATGACATCTTTATACCAAAAGGTAAAAGGTCTCATTGTATACAATCAGATATATAAAACACGACATAGATTGGATGCTATGTGTTATACAAGAAAATTATCCGCGATCTTGGATAAAGGTTAAAAAACCTAAAACATAAAGGTGTTTCAAAAAATTTTGTATAGAACTTTAATTCCTCATATTATTTCATGGTAGGCCCTCTTTCCGTTTCCTCATATTATTTCATGGTAGACCCTCTTTCTGTATTTCTTTCAAGCAGCATAAAAAAACCCCTACCGTATCCTCTCATATCTAATCTCCTTCTTTATTGACTTTTGACCATAAAAATTAGCCCCAAGAAGTCTATTTATATCATTTCAACCTAAAATCTTTTTTAACTCTCTTGTCCCCTTTTTACCCATTAAAAAATATTTTGGGTTTGTTGGGGCTAATTTTTATGACCAAAAGTCAATAAAAAAAAAAGGAGATGAAATATTTAGGGTTTTTTTATTCATTTTGAAATAAAAACAGAATGAAAGTCTACCATAAAATAATATGAGGAATTAGGATTTTATACGAAAATTTCCAAATATACTTCAAGTTTGATGTGACTTAGATGAAAGAGGGTGGGTGGAAGACAGATTGCATGTGTTTTAAATACATGTATGAAAGAGAAATTACGCAAGAGAAAGAGGAAGAGAAAGAGAGATATTGCATGTTTTTAAGGCATCAACGAATGAGAAAGATGAAGCCACACTATAATAAAGAGAGAGAGGAGGTATCCCCATAGTGGGAAGAGAGAAAGAGGGAGATAATGCATGTATTTTAAATGCATCAAAGAGAGAGAGAGATTGGTAGGGTGAGAAAGAAAAAATTAGGCTATAAAGTGTAAGATAGTAAGTTAAAAAAAAAAATCCATAACAGTAATACGCATCATGAAAAAAAATTCAAGGGATTATGCAATCCCTCGGGTACATGCGTCCTCTAATAAATGTCATGTTTACTATGTTTAAAAATTTAAAAGGTTACTTTTATTTTTAAATGTACTCTTATCACATATATCTGAACTTTGTATTGAAAAACTAAAGCTTCGTAGGTCATTATCTCGAGGGAGTACTCATATAATTTGCTGTATTTTTGCATGTATACCATCTTTTGTTATTCCAACAAAAATGTATTTATGGCATTTATTGTGATATGGTGTCATGTGTCCTATAATCAACTATTGTGTTTTTTTCAAAAATTCCAGTATCTTATGATCAAATGGCAACATAGTCCTTTATCAATTTTTAAAAAATACAGCTAATTTTCTTATAATGGAAAAGGTTTATATAAGGTCAATTGGCACCTTAAAATGTAGAATTAAGGTGTACTTCTAAAATCCTTTCAAAAAACTTGTTTTGATGTTGGAAAAACATTTAATTGATCATCTCGACATCGATATGATATGGAGAAAAAAAGATATTTTAAGTCTTAAAAATAGTACATCCGACAACACATTATGTAGACCATCTATTTTAGAGATTTTTATTGGCTTATGGATCCGCTTGATTTGAAATATGTTTGGAGTTTAAAATTTTGTAATTAGAGGTAAAAGTAGATTCTCGCGTTATACTAAGAATTTTCGACATCAAAATTGCATCTCACAACAAAGTTTGGAGATACTCCTTAATTTGATTGTTTAAGGTTGCGACCTTATGCAAACCACACTCTTTTATAATTTCTTAAAAAACTAGATACAATAAAACAAATTTGACCGGTATAGTAAAATAAATATCATTCAATTTAGATAAATTTAAAATTTCTTTTATTTATCAATATTCGTTTTAAATGCTAGAAATCTATATGAAAGCTTCATTCTTGAAAATTTAAGTCGAATAATTTTGTTTTATGAGCATAACTTTAAAAGCTCACTTTAAAAAAAAAATTTGATTAATAAATCTGAATTATAAAATAAAATTTGTAATTGAGAAATATTATCAATTAATATACAAAAAAAAATTCAAATCTATAAATAGCTTAACCACAAATAGAGTTAATAGGGTCAATTAAGTTTTCAAATATCTATCTAGCACTAAAGGTGACCAATTAGTTACTAAGCCTGAAATCGGTGTTGTCTAAAACGGACCAGACTTGCCAATAACCTGTGCCGATACAGTTGGACCACCTACAATTTATATTTAAAAATTGAAAATACAATAGTTTTTGACTGATAATAGGCGCGAGACTCTGTGTCTCTTAAATCATTTAAGAAAGAGAGAGAGTTACATTTGTTTTAAATAACCTAAAACATAAAGGTGAACAACAAAGACGAGTTCAATATAGCTTAGGAATCAACTCGAGTGAGGAAAAGGAAAGAAAAAAAAAAAAAAAAAAAAAAATCTATGGCAAGGTTAATTAAGGTTTCGCTTTGAAATTTTTGGAATAAATATGAAATAGCTAGAATTAGGCTTCTCATTTGAAATTACATAATTTGATTAACATAATATGCTTCTACAATACACATGCAACACACATGCAATTTTCTAGTTTGGCTAAAGTACGTAAATGGTAAGATTATTAAAGGAAAAAGTTCATACATGGTCAGGGTCTTATACTATATAAGTAAAGCACGCCTCTCAAACTCACAAAAGGTTGTTTAGAAAACTTTCCAATTGATTATGTTGACATCGAGATGTATGGGTGTCAGTGATTGTATACTTACTAAATTACCGTTATCTTCTATAACTTTAGGTTTTATTTAAAGGGAAAAGTTTAAATGAGACATTATTCAAATATGGTTTCCTTATGAGAATCTATTTCAGTATTTCGGCTTTAATCCAAGATTTTATAGCTGAAAAAAGATGCATAGAATTAAAATTAATGATGATGGTTTAAAAACAAAGTAAAAAACCAGTCTTCTTCTAAGGTCCATGTCTTCATATTCATGATCTTGGCTGAGTTTATAAATTTCGAAAGCCCAAAATCCATCTTTAAGATGAACTTTTAAAGGACTTCACATTTAACAGATGGGTAGCTAACACACTGTATTTATTTATTTATTTTATGTACTTTATTTTTATTTTTTTGTGTATTTGCATGAGGAATCATGAATGAGAAAATATATGATAAAATCATTTACATACGGTACGAGGAGGTCATACCACTCTTAGGCGAAACCAAGTTGTTAAAAGTACGTTTGATTGGGCTCAAAGTCTCAAAAATAATATTCTCAAACTTTATGTTTAACTCCAAATTGTCGAATTTCACATCTAAGAGCTGGTGATCTTTAAATAGACTTTACCATGTACAATCCCATTATGTATTCGCTCAATTGAGGGAGAAGTTCATTTTTCTGGCTAAGTGTTTTGAGAGGATAAGTGAAATCCGAATGCCAAAATGGAAACTATTAAAATACAAAGTGGAAAGCTTTTTTTTTTTGACACGTGTAGTGCGGGGTGAGTGACTGACTTTTGGACCATCTCTTATCACATCATATGGTGATTTTACTTTGAAGAAGATATCAATTAAAGGGTTAAAACCGTTTACAAAATTACTTAAACACTTAAAAGATACCAGTTATATTTGGGAGTTTGTTTTTTTACGGTCTATTTCAGTTAGATACGTCTTAAAAAAAGACGTTAAAAAATTCTCAGATTGTGTTGAGAAGCCCAAACAATTAGGAGTACTTTTAACTCAAAAAGGCCTTAACAGAATGATGATAGTACCCTACTTGTTCAAAGTTAGAACTAACGAACAACTTGTTTGGTATTTAAGATGAGGAACAGAGGAATAGTGAGGGGCATTTACATCATTTGATATATTCGGTATTTGAAATGAAGAACAACAGGGGTAAAAAAAATTTTCTTTCTTTTTGGTAATTCAGTGAGGGGTATATGTTCGGTATTTGAAATAAAGAATAATAGGGGTAAATTCCCCTTCTTCTTTTTTTGTTTGGTATTTGAAATGAAGAACAATAGGGGCAAATTCTTTCTTCTTCTTTTTTTCTTTTTTTTTTGGTAATTCAGTGAGACGAGCCCCTTACCCGTTTTTTCAAGTAGATTAGGAGTTCTGATAATTCAGTGAGAAGACCAGCCCCTATCCGATTTTTTAAAAAGATTAGGAGTTAGCTTTTTTAAAGTATTTATTAATAGGGTGGTGTTAGTGGTGGGAATGAAAACCACAATGTGGTGACTAGGGTGTGGGGTGTTACCACCACAACCCCAGCCCCTTTCTTATGTAAATTCCTCATTGGACATAAACATATGTCAAATAATGTGAATACATATTCATCATTTCAATTACCGCACAAATTGTTCAATATCTCCGAACAAGCAAGGGTACTATCGGTTCTATTAAGGCCTATTTGGGGGTAAAACTATCAAAATACCTTTAACTATTCAAGCTTCCCAACACATTGAAAGAACTTTTCAACGGCTTTTTTTAGCATGTACTTGATTGAACTAGAAATTTAATAGAAAACCCTCAAATGTAATTTGTGATTTTTTGATTCCTTGAGTGATTTTGTAAGAACCCCTTAGTTCTGTTTTTTTTTTGAAATATTAACATAACTTCATTGAACAAAGGAAAAAGGACAAAGTAAACATTAAACCAAGGGAGCAGGAAACTAGCAACTGTAGAAAACAAGCAATAGAATTACAAAGAGTTTTAAGGGATTAAAGAGGAGGGTTACGTGTCTGCTTTCAGCAGTTAATCAGCTGCGTGATTCCTCTATGTGTTAACATGATTGAATACTATTGTTCTAACTTCTAAATATTAAGAAAATCTATCCATTATAGGCCTCCAAATCCAGTTTGGTGCACCATTTGATGACATTAGCAGAGTTTCCCTTTATGATAATAGTTTGATATTCTGATGCAGTTTTGTGATAATCCCAGAGAAGACCATCATAACCTGCTAGCAATCCATTATCTCTTACACGCCCATCGAAATTGAGCTTTACCCACTGGGATGGTTGTGACATCTATCTTGAAGGCTTCACAATCTTTATCTTTTCGAAATATAATAACTCTTTTCAGATGCTATGGAAGAATTCCTTGGGCACCTCTTTAAATTCTTTTTAAATCTGGACCCAAAGGACGATCAAAGATATGCTTGAATTTTAAAGTTGTTTAATATCTCTGATTTTGCCTTCAAAGGTTCTAAAATTCCTTTCTTTCCATATGTGCTAAAATATTCCAGCCGGCATGATTCTCCATGTCATTATTCCTTGTGAAGAGAATGGGGAGATATATTCTGTTTTAGGAATTGATCTATTGACTTTGAAAACAAACAATTCCATTGAGCAAGATCTAAGACTTACTGCCATATTCTCCAAGAGAGTGAGCAATATAGAAACAGGTGGGAGTTGGATTCAGCATTTGACTTGCATAGTAAGCAAATGCTGGTGCAAAGGCTTCTAACTCTGCAAATTGAGTCAGTTCCAATTTTAACTTGCCAGCTACTTGTTTCATAGTTTTAAGTTGAGCTGCAGATCCTACTTTGAAAATGGAAATACCCACACTAATAGCAGGCAGGATTCCAGCTTGAAATCATACATTGGCTTCTCAATTGTTCAATGGATAGAGTTCTATAATGGCTAAGCAGCCATAAAAAATGCCTTTACCCTTGCAGGAACTTTGAAGGACCAAACTTTAACTAAGGCTGACCATGAATAAACTAGTCCCTGATGATAAACAAATGCCACAAAAATGTCTTTCCCTTTAGTTTTCTACATTATCCTTCCCCTTCTGTTATGTTAGTTTTCTACATTATCTCTCTCTCTCTCCCTAAAACAAGCTTATCCATTGAACAGCTCTCACTCAACTTTTCTTAGCTGCAACTTGGTAATAAAACAAGCTTATCCAGTTGTATACCATCTTGCAAATTGTGGAATGCCTCCAAATTAGCACACGATACACACCCTTTAATAAAGTGTTTACCTAATTAAAGGCATGTTGGTTTACTAATTAAAGGGGTACTTATTTAACCAAAGGAAGCGCCTTGCGACAAAAATATTTCCTAAGGTTATTTGATTTTGCTCTTATCAACACACAAAATTTTATTAGGAATAGGCTCGAGCGTAGGTCGTCAGGGTGGTGGGTCGCCAATGTTATGAGTTATACTCTTTTTAAGAGAGAGAGGAGCGGCCGTCCACAGTGCTAGTAAAGCAGGGCTTCGAACCCGATATATCAACATGCCTGAAAAACACACCACCATAACAGCAGGTTAAGTGGTCATTTTGAGTTTCATTCCAACTATAGGTAGGGACTTATCCCGACATAACTACCCCAAAAAAAAACACACACACACAAATTCTAGAGGGGGCTATCTATATACATGTGTCAATCTAGGATGACGAGATTATATGCTCCTGCTGGAGCACATATGCATTTGTTTGCAAGGGTGAAACCTAAAAAATTATATGCTACCCCTGTACAGTATGCTCCGAGGGAGCATAGCATGCTATTTGTATCCACGACCTGAGTGAAATTCTAGTAAGAGATAAGGTTGCAGCGGGAGCAACATGAGGCCCATAGAACCTGTTTGAAAATTCATCTATTTTCCTCACTTTTTCTCCTTATCTAAAACACGTACAATAAGAACGAAAATTAAAATAGGAAATTTATCAAATGGAAATACATGTGATTTTTCAACAATTTGACACTCACCTTTTTTCAACTGTTCCAACTCAATGGTCATATATTTTGATATGTATTTTGAAATTAAACCAGAAAAGATATGGATAAAATGTTAAATAGGTGATCTTTAATATGCATGTTGATAAATTTCCCGATTTAAATACATCTCTCTCTCTCTCTCTCTCTCTCTCTCTCTCTTGCTTTTTTCACCTGGGTTACTACCATTTTTATGGAGCATGTAAGAGTACAAAATTCCCACTAGATATTCATAACAGAACTCTGAGAAGGACAATATAAGCATTCATTCCATGCAATTTTTCATCTAGAGTATTACTACAAACCAGATCTAGAGTCTAAAATAAGCTACCATGAAGAAAAATGTTACATATTTTACATGAATCCATGAACCCAACATCCCAAACATGCCAACATCCCCTGCATATTGGCCTAATGACAAGTACATGCTAATCTATATGATTACAACTATACAATTTATGCATGATACAGAGACTGCTTTCTGTGACAGACTGCACTGCGAAGACATCTATAAAACCTATTTACATCTTCCTTCCAATCTTGGGGAGGAGAGAGAGAGAGACAGAGAGAGAGAGAGACAGAGAGACAGACAGAAACAGAGATGCTTCAAAAATACCCGCAGCTGATAGACATGACTCTTTCAAATGGATAGACATTTCATTGACCTGGCCCTTGATATAACTTACTAAGAGCACTCACTCTTAGTTTTTAGAGAGAGACAGTGGTGGCTGGCAGTAGCAGAATAGAGAGCTACAGGGTAGTGAAAGAAATTGGTTGACTAGGCCGGCTCTCGAGGTCTAGCGGCCCAAAGGGAACTCAAGGTTCTAAGGCGCTGGAGATAGTCACCGAGGGCAAGCAATCCACGAGCTGCTTGGCGGTTAGTCAAAATGCGATGCATTTGCTTAAGGGTCTGTTGTCGAAGGTTGTCAGCCTGCTTGGAGGAAACACACAAAGTTTCCATCAAAGGATGTGAAACATAGATTTACTTGTAAGGAAACAGAAGCTTTCTGATTATCACAAAATGGATTTTCAAAATCAGGTCAGCCTTTCATAGTGATCAAAAAACTAAAGCACACCAATTTTAGAGTTTTCATCATATCATAGGTCTAAGAGCTCCAAAACAAATATCGATGCAAAAAATTGTATACGACTGCAAATTATCTTACCAGGGAAATGGAACAAGCATAATTCTATAAACTAGTAATCAGATTTAAGCAACAAACTAGAAACAGAGGCTTCCCTCCCAAGGTAAACATCGTGTAGATGCACGGGAAGTAAGAAGCCTTGAGAAATTATCAGGTCAATTGGAGTGATATGGTGAAATGGTGACTAAAAAATATACCAATAAAAAAAAAAAACTGACTAAGAAAATAAGGCATTCTATCTATACATGATAACCGGGGCGGGGGGACGAAGGGAAGAGGGAGGGATGTGCATTTCATATATGAGAAACTCAGTTTGTTGATCATCTTAGAAAGGAAATTGAGTACAAGAACTAATGCATGAACAAGATGTTACCTGATGCACAAAATTCTGAAGATCCTCCAATTTCCCCATTGCTACAGCCATTTGTCCCATATAATTTGAGACATTTGGAGCACCTATAGGATCAGATGCCATAGCCGCAGCTAAAGTTTGATTCAGGTTCTCCATGCCTTGGGAAAGAGCATCTTCAGCTTGTTGAGATGATTGCTGTAGATTCCATACATCTACAAGTTGTTGCTCTGATAGAGGGTGAAGCTTTGGATGGAGTATCTGTAAATTGAAACAAAGATGAAAAGGATGGAATAAGCATGAGGGTGTTCCAAACGCACAGGACATATTAGTTTCCACATCAAAATATTAACAAACCAAAGCCATAAACAAGAAGGGAACTGCTAGCATAGTGAATAATAAATAAATATATAAATGAATAAGAAGGAAAGTATAAGATAATCCAATGGAACATGGAAAAACCATAGTCCACAGGGTCATCACCATCCATTGAAATGATGGAGGTGCTAAGAAGGGCGACCCATCAGAATAAGACACGACCCAAAATTGGGTTGCACTCTCTCGCCATCATTGGCCGCCATTTCATTGGACTGCGATAACCCAAATAACTCCGATTTTTTTTATGGCCCACAGCATATATCTACGTTTCCCTAGTTGACATGAGATCATCTACTTTCTCAAAAACAATGTATGAAGATCCCAGAGCAGGAGAGTCACTCTAGTTGGAAGATCATAGCTTCAAAATGTAAGTAGGGAATTTTTACAAGTCAACACAAATTACGGCCATCTTTTATCAGATAGAGCAAAGGTGCAACAGGAGATGGAGTTCATCTTGACACACAGTATAACCAGCTCACAGGGATCATAATAAGCATAGAAGCACATGAAGAGATAGCCAGGATCAGTACGCAATCACTAAATAAGGTTACAACAAAATTGATAATAATTAGATATAAACTCAGATAACACTCTTCAACAAATGGCATCAGATAAATCACCTTTAGAAGCTCCGAAGGTCGATATCCTCCAATCCACATGAAAGACCTTTCTGCACCTGATTTCCACATGCCAGACATTATGTAGAAGACATCAGTCATTGCAGCAAATGATTTCATACGGAAAAGACTGTCATAGTGTGCCATGCCACTGTCTACATGCTTTCGAAGGTCCTGATCTGTTACATGTGCTTGCAATGCCGTTCTAAGATCATCTAGCTGCCTGTTTTGCTCTTCAACCCAGTTGGCATACTCCAACTCAAAAGCAGCAGCACCTAAGAAGTAAGAGATTAATAAGAATTCACTTCAAGGAAATAATGAGAAGACTGGACAATAACATTTAGAAAACCATGAAATGAAGTTAGACTCAGAAGCTCATAGCACCTCAGGTGCAAAAGTTTTCAACTAAAAGGAAAAAGACTCCTATAATTGATACTTCAAAAGGGAAGTGCCCTAACTAGGAGATTCATCCAAAGTTTTATGAGATTCTGTTCCTCAGCTTGGAAAACACAAGGATTTCTGAACATTTCTATACGTAATAAAACAGAGAAGTGCAAAACCTCATTGTTTATAGAAAATATATAAATATAGATTAGAAAAGAAAAACTGCATTAAACAAATTAGAGATATATATAAACAAATTAGTTGAGCCAAAATTAAATCCAATATAATTCAATACAATTCCAATTTAATTATAATTTATTGATCAGAATGAGTGCTCTCTCCCAATCGTTAAGCAGAAAGCAGTAGTGAATAAAAGCTAACAACGTTGCGTTGTAAGTGGCCTCATAAAAAATAATAATAATGCAAATAAAATATTAAAAGTGGTCTAATTTGATTGTTCCGGTGACACATCAAAACACTCTCTAACACATCAAAACACTCTCTAGAAAGATAAACATAAGTAAATTTATTCAATGTATTTTTGTCTGCAAAAATGGAATAAGAAAACCAAGTATTATACCTGTATTAGCAGCCCCACCTACTCCGAGGTAACTAGAATGCCCAGAGTACACTCCCTGCAGCTAAGCATGCCAACATTCAGCCAATTTAAGCAAATCATACAACCCATATTTGCTAAGTCTGGACATGTACTCTATCACCTGTTGTCTAGCTCGCTCAAGCTCCTGCTCCAATTGGGTCAGTTTCAAACGACTCGACTCCAGTTGCTGAACATAGGCCTACATAACAAAAATCAGGTACGAGTGTGCAACAATCATGGCAACAAGAAAACAGAGAGCATGACAATATTTTGAAAATAATCTGTTTATATAGACTTTGCAATGTGCACCTTTTTACGCAAGCGACTTTTCCTAGCAGCCTCTCGATTTTGGTGAAGACGCCTTAATACCTGCACATACAGTAAGAATCCAGTTTAAGAAGAGCGCGTATACTATGCTCCCGCGGAAGCAGACTGTCCATCTACTCCCTCAGGCAGAAAACCTACTCAGGAGGGTTTTTAAAATCTAAAATTTTGGGAACCATCTAAAATCACAGGATGATTATCTTCAAAAGAGAAAATTTGAATTTTAAGTTTTTAACACTTAGATCCCACCCTTAACAAATTGGACGGTCTCGGTTCAATCTTGAGACATTCTGTTTTTCAAGTGCATAGAGAGTGCAAATGTTACATCCCCAAACTTTGTAATCCTAAAATTACTCCTAGATTCGTTTTTACCCGTGGGAGTAAATGGACAGTATGCTCCTGTTGGAGCATTAAATCTTTTGGAATATAAGAAATGGAACCAATAAATTTCAATCAATTACATTCTTCCCCAAATTGTTTTCCTGATAGTCAAGTATTTTGGATGAGAATTAGAAAGTTTCATGGTAAGCAAGACTTGGAATCATCAATGAATATGTACAGGGCATGTTTCAAGGTATTTGTTTTATTCTTAAACTTTTTCATGTTTTAGCATGAAAAAGAAACTTTCCTTGTTAAAACGGCATTCATCATCAGATAATAGTCATGTAGTTGGGACTCCTGTAGCATTATGATATTTGGTCTAGTGTTCAGGTGCAGCAGAAGGCACTGAAGTCAAGTCACTTAGAAGAGAGAGGCTTTTGGGAGACCTATCCCCAGCACAGCATGAATACCAGTTGACGGTGCACCAAACATGTAAAGAAGCCCGACAGTAGATTATGCTAGTATTATGGAGCAGTTTAAAAGTTCTTAGTAGTGAGTACATGAAAATCCAATAGACATGAGTAGGAGATGTCTTTTCCTATATAAAGACATCACTGCATCACATATATAAAGAAGTACAGAGATTCAAAATCTCAAGATAGGTCTGACAAAAAGAAACCAGATCTTATAAATTCCTGATTATCTATAGAGAAACTACAGGCCCAACTGTAATCATTTCAGAAGAAACCCCTAGCCGCAATACCTCCCTACGTTCTCAAACTGCCATATCTTAAAATGTAGTGCAGTCTCTAAACATCATTGTTTAAGACAAATGTGAACCGGAGCAGGAAGCAACGCTGGATCCAAAAATTAAAGGATCCATGATTTTCCAAAATTCCAACATGAAATTTATATAGAAACGCCGCCTAGAAGGAAACAAACTACAAGGGAGAAATATTTCATTCTTTTTTGTAGGGAAATTTATCAAAATACCCACAAGAGATGAACAATTTAACATTTTACCCTTTTGGAACTATTCCAACTGAAGGCCATATGTTGTTTTGTGGGTATTTTGAAATTAAATCAAAAGATATAGGTAAAGTGTTAAATTGTTAATCTTTCATGGGTAATTTCATAAATGCCCCTTTTTTATGCATACTATTGATTGCACCATCATTTAAAACATGCGGATCGTTTCCTCGCAGGGCAAAACAACAGATACATAAAACTTTTCACCCATTAGGAAGATGTTATGCACAGAAAAGAAAGTCACCAGCCACTCTCCTGTAAGCAAGTCATCTTCAATGCTAGCACACAGTATTTAGCTACTCAACAATTGCCTGGATATTACTTAGCCAAATTAGACGCTTTGATATCATTGAGACATTCAGAATGGACCTTTGGAGCATTTTCGAAAACAGGTGAGTAATCAGCAAAAACAGAGCTAAGCCACAATTATAATCAACATATAATTCAGAGAAAATTACCTTATCACTAGGCTTAACTGCTGCCTGATCAGAACCTTTCATCAGTGCTATCTTTCCATGTGTAACAACATTCTCTGACTAGAGATTAACAAGGCAAAAAGCAAGACTAAGAAAAACATAGCATAATTCCCGTGAACAGAAGATAATAAAAATAGCAAAACCACATCGTACCCTCATATCAATCTTAACATCTGCATCATCAAGCATTGATTGTCCAGAATTAGGACTATGTTCGGCTTTAAAGGGTTCCTCCCATATGTTATATTGATAATTCGGGTCAAGCATGCCCATGCTTCTTGAAATTGCAAACTGAGTTGATGGTGAGTTCATATTCTTCCACAAGAAAACTAATTAATAAGCATCTGCAACATCATTAATAACACAATGAGAAAAGGAACAGAAGCTCATTCATGTCAAAGGCAAAAGCAAGGATCAAATACAGTTATTCTTCACAAAACTTAGTTAACTGTCAATAAAATGCCTAATAAATTTAAAAATAAAAATAAAAAAAAAGGGAAAGAAAGAAACAAAAGTTCCATCATTTAGGATGAGTATGAATTGGACGCTAGCCCATAAGGGCGATCTCTTTTTTTTTTTTTTGGGTCATGTCAATTGTCTTGATTCTTTTTTTGTTTTATTTGCAGCTTTTTTTTTTTTTTTCCCTTTTTTTGCTGGTTTTCTTTTCATACATTGATCTAGAATATAAGCAGTTCTTCAACCTGCACTTAAATTCTTCTAATTTTGTCATTTTATTTATTAATTTTCTATGTGTTCAGGTATTTTACTAGGTTAGCTTTTGGTTATAGTTAATCCATTAAGTTTTGACCAACCTGTAACCAGTATGATTCAGATATTGCATTGCTATTCTATGTAGATTGAACCAATGACACAGTATTATTCAAATAGTACATTAAGATAACACAGCTATTGTTTCAAATAAATACGCAAATGAAGTACATAATTTTATCAACCTAGAAAAGAGTACCTACAAATATGCAAGTGAAGTGCATCTGTTCAAATATACAGGCAGGAGGCATTCACAAATTCATGTATCATTGTTAGATAATATAAAAATGCATGTTTATGGAGATACATAGAGATTCATGTGCAAGATTCTTGCAGAACATACGTATGCATACATGGTTCATAAAAATAAATATATAAATACGTGCACCTTGTATATAGGCACACCTACGCATGCATGCATACACATTGCTTCTGTTACAGGAAGGCCACCCATTTTCTAATCCATTTGAATACATCCATGTGCAGCACACGTGTTTTTTAAATCATACAACAATTATAAATGATCGTTAAGATATATGCTAGAAGAACCACCAAACAGTGTAAGTAGACCCATCGTCTGTAACTATGTCAATTGTGTTATTGAAATACCCAACAAGGAAAAAAGGGATGGAAGCCTCATATGAAATGGTTCAAGAAAAAGAAAATTGCTTGTTATTACAGAACACTGCCAGAATTAGTCATTGGTAATAAACAGTAATTCAGTAATTTTCCCAGAAAACAAGAATGAATGATGAAAAAAACTCATTACTGGGCGGAGATTGTCTTTTAAAGTCCTGCAATACCATTAAAAGGCAGAGAATAAAGACTAAGAAGATACAAATACAAGTTCAATCAAAGATGGCAGGATAACAAAGGTACAAGTCTCGTTAATTTTTACCCTAGAAAAATACAATTCTCAGTCCACGAACAAAAACCAAATTCCAGAATATATTCCCAGAAAACTACATAGAATTGAAGTAAAAACTACTGCTTGAATTACCAGCAAAGAAGCAGTGAGTGGAATTTACCACGAGAGAGAAAATTAAATTAAATACATGGTCCTAACCTTAAAATAAGCGAAGAGAAGAGACCAAATAATAGAATAACCCATCGTACTCCCTCAATAATCAGAAAATACGGAGGGAACAGTACATGTGAATTTGGATGGCCAAATAGCAAAAACGTGTCAATTGAAAGGAAGCAATCAAACTGTAAATTCAAAAATTCACAGAAAGAAAGGAACAGTGAACAAATCTGAGAAGTTAAAAATGATAGTTTTCCTGAACTTGAAAGCGTGACTTGTAGTCTTAGAAAACTCAAAATTTGCATAAAGAGCAATACAACCTCTGAAACTGAAACACGAGAAGAAACCATTGAAAAGCTGGGAATTCACAGGAAGAACAGTGAATGATCTTTAAAAATAAAGTTCTCCTCAACCAAAACAATCTTGAGAACCCTAGCAAACTTCAATTTTTCGCAAGGCCAATGGAGACCCTGAAAAAAACCAAAAAGAAGCTCCCTTGCTCCGCAGGAGCTCAAAAGGTTTGGATAATTTACAAGAAATGAATCACCACCTCTGCAACTACGAGAGTAAAAGCTAGAAAAACTGACAAACCCACAGCTCGCACAGAGAACAACACAAAACCCCAAAACCAAAGCAACAAAAGCAAAAGCTTTCCGACCTGAAACAAGACTTCAAACCCTAAAACTCCCATAACCATCAGCTCCCAACCTGAAACAACAGGACCTCGAAACCGTATCTCTGCGTTATCCAAACCTTAGCTCCTGCGGAGCAAGAGAGCCCCTTTCCCTCTCTTTCCTCTCTCTCCCTCTCCACAAAGAGAATCGGAGATTAAAGCTACAGTCAACTCCACTTATTCTCTCCCTTTGAAAATGGACTCCAGGTCAGATAGACCCCTCTGCTAAAGCCATGGCTTCCATAGCCGGAATACGTCACTTTCCGTCCATGGACATGGACTTTCCGGCCAGTCCATGGCCGGATAGTCACCGGGAAATACTGTCAATAAGTGGGTCATTTTCAGTGGGTCTTTTTTTTTTGGGAAAATGACGAATTTGTGTGAGTTTTGGGGGGAATTTTTTATCATTTCCTTCGTTTTGAATCTTTGATTATGACATCCCTTACGAGCACGAGATTCGTTTTCGTTCGTATTCAATATTATTTATCTGAGAAATTAGTTTTACGCCTTTTTTTGCTATTGCCACCTAAAAAGGGTTTTGATTTAGTAAAAAGTTTATACAAAGGTTGAGCCCTGAGCATTCAAATTAAAAATCTACTAGAAAAAGTTGTTTCGATGCAACCTCAAATACCGTCATCTCAACCTTGAGATACATGAAAATCCCATCATCTCAACTCAACTTGATACATGGATTTTAAAAAGTTGAACGTCAAGTTTTGTAAATGCATTATTTAAATTATAAATTTTCAAGATTTTCAAATCTGTTTGATCAACAATATTTTTAAGCTTTAAATTTTATAATTAGATATTAAAATAAACTATTAGAAAATCACAAAGATTTTCGATACTAAATATATATCTTTCAACACTATTTGAAGGTCCGTCTTACTTTGATCATTTAAGGCAGCTTAAGTTCTCTCTTCAATTTTGCTAATGAATTTAAAATTTCAAAAACAAAAAAGATCAAGCAAACGTATTAACATTTGAAAATTTAAGAATAGACCGTCCAAATATTGTAAAATACATTATTTTTAAGACTAAAATTCTTCCCAGTCTTTATATCCATACATACATGGTTGAATAAAAAATTTTCAAATAATGTTTCCACCAATGTGAAATATTTAAGATACGTGTGCAAAAAGTAATCTGTTTTTTTATTTATTTGCATTTGGTTTTTTAATACTATTTGTGGGTAAGACGACGATTACGTCCTCCGATTAATCGGTTTAAAGGCGGACGCAAGGTTTTGTCGTGACATATGACGGAACCGTTAAGTAATTATTAAGGTTTGGAAATTGAAATTGATGAGACTCCCGTTTGCTTGGAATCAGTTACCCACGAAAGAATACCGCCGAAATTTCAGATGGAAAGAGAATTTCGGCTAGAGCCCGACATTTCGGCTGGAGAGGGGATTTCGGATCGGCCTCGAATACGTTCTGGCGGTGGCGGGAAATATATGATGCACCACTGGTGTATGGATTCATTTATATCACATCTCATGAGATGAGGGTTCTTTACGAAATTTGGTAGAGCCGCACTTAAGAATCCATTCAAAATACATAGTGCTGAAAAAGACATGTGATGGCTTGAAAATCCACTCCCGACGGATCTGGGAATACTTTGACATCATGGTTTAAATAAGTGTGTTGTTGGATTTTGGAATCACCTGGTCTGACCTAGATATTAGTAGGGCTATCGTGGTTTCTTGAATATATTAGGAATGTAGTTCATGTTAGAAACCTGTCGGTTCTTTAATATAACCACTTATTTTATTTTTATTTTTTTAAATTTTTTTAAATTTTTTTTACTTTTTTTTATTGGCTAATTTTCTCTGATGGATCACTGGTTCAGATCGGCGACTCGCCGACCTATACCAATTCCTTTGATGGCCAGTTCACCCTGATGTGGGTTTTTAAACAATAGTTTAGACTAGTGCCTACTATAGTTTAAATTTTATTTTTATTTATTTCAAATTCATGATCTTGGAGGGGGAAATTATCGATTTGTAAGTTTCCTCCTGCATTCTCGAGTGAGATTTTAAATGTCTTTGGGTAAATAAGAGGATTTACCAAATACTTTTCCTACCTAATATAAGAAAAAGTGTTTTGTAAGTCAGCGGACTCACTAGCCCACACAATCACAAACATCCATTTTTAAGATGAACGTCCCCAACTAAATATTAATATCCAATGGATAGGATGCTAATAAAAATGTTTTAAAATAAAATTTTATTTTATTATATTTTGTAATAAAATATAAAATTGAGGATGTTGAAATGAATGAGTGGCAAAATAAGTGATAGAATTCGAAATAAATTCATTCAAAAAAATTTAGGTGCGACACCAATCGGCGACAATATAAGAGAGAGTAGACTTCAATGGATTGGTCACGTACGGTACTAATCCAGTACAACACATGTTAGGAGATGCTAGTTAGTTCAAGTAGAATGATTAAAAATGGCAAAGGGTAGGACCAAAAAGATGTCGTCGGAAGTAGTTCGAAAAGATATGGAGGCTCATGGCCTCATTGAAAGTATGACATTTAATAGAGCAGACTGGTGGATCAAGAATGGTATAGTTGACCTCAAATAATTGGAAAAATGCTATGATGATGATGATGGTTCATGATCATCATCATGTAGACCATGGATCATATAAATTTGGATAGAAGATGGATACAAATAATGGGTATTCAAGGGAGCCGGCGTAAAAATGGTATGAGTAAGAGGATTCATAAAAACCGGGTCCCTAATATAATTAACTCTCAACTGAATTGTCCAGAAAGATTTTTAACACCATATGGTTTATAAATTTTCCCCCCTTGTTGGACAATAGGTCCCCACAACTATGTAACTTTCTACTCCTTATTTATTTCAAATCATGGGCCTCGCATCAACACTACAAGACTAAGAAGAAATAGATTCAAAGTTTTAGCACTTTTTAGGAGCAAAATATGTGCCAAATTTCAGTTTTGTTGGACTCTTACTATGTGACCAAAGTTCTAAAACCTATCCAAGCTAATTTTATTATTTTTAAATTCCGTTATTGATTCAATTATTTTGCTGATTGTACATAATCTTTTGATTGTCCATCTTTAGATGTTTTTATTTAAGTAAAAGAATATGCAACTTTCAAAACCTAATTAATGGTCAAAAGGTTTATTTATTTAAATGCTCGATAATGGCAAGTTTACTTTCCAATTATTATTCCGTTATGTTACCTTTCGATTCCAAATTTAGGGTTTTTAATTATAGTAGTTTGAAATTGGGGAAGTATGCCAATTTGCAACCATTATATGGAGCCCAACCAATAATGGAATGTCATATATATATATATATATATATATATATATATATATATATATATATACTACTACTTACGTTACTACTACTACGTTACGTTCTTACTACTTAACTTACCTAACTTAACGTT